CCCCCCCCCCCCCCCCAATTTACAAGAGGAAGACTTAATTTTAAGCTATTGTGCAATCACCTCTGTGTACAAACACAAGTAAATCAGGACAAAAAAGATTTTTTTTAAATCAAGTTAATGAATATTGTAGACGTTTGATTTTTAGAACATAATTTGGTATTTTTCTGGTTCTGAGATTGCAAAACCCCTTGTTGAAACAAGTACTTCCAGGGGTAAGGAGAGGGACTTTTTGTGGCAAAGGTCGGGGGTTAAGGGGCAGAACTTCTGGGCCCTGGCCCTAGTTGCCATCTTGGGACCAGAAGATGGCAACTAGGGCCAGGGCACCTGTCAAAAGACGGGGCTACTCATCTGGCCCTCGGCAGCTTGCCAAAACTTGGTAAGCGGCGCTGTGCCCAAAATAATTGCCTGCCCCTGGGTTAGAGTCATAGAAAGTTAGAGTTTGAAGGGATCTCAGGAGGTCACTTAGTCCAGCCCCCTGCTCAAAGTCGGACAATCCCCAACTAGATCATCCCAGCCAAAGCTTTGTCTAGCCAGGTTTTGAAAACCTCTAAGGATGGAGCTTCCACCACCTCTCTGGGTGACCTGTTCCAGTGCTTTACTACCCTCATAGTGAGAAAATTCTTCCTAATATATAACCTAAACTTCCCTGCTGCAACTTGAGACTGTTGCTCCTTGTTCTGTCATCTGCCATCACTGAGAACAGTCTAACTCAGGGGTGGGCAATTATTTTGGGCAGAGGGCCGCTTACTGAGTTTTGGCAAGCCATCGATGGTCATGTGACAGGCAGCCCAGGGCAGATTAATATTAATTTCCCTAATTTTTTTTTAGGGGCCCCGCAGGCTGGATAGAATGGCCTGGCGGGCCACATCTGGCCGCCGGGCCGCATTTTGCCCACCCGTGGTCTAACTCCATCCTCTTTCAAACCCCACTTCAGGTAGTTTAAGGCTTCTATTAATTCCTCCTACGTCTTCTCTAGACTAAATAAGCCTGGTTCCCTCAGTCTTTCCTCATAAGGTCATTTCCCCCAGCCCCCTCATCATTTTTGTTGCTCTCTGTTGGACTCTCCAATTTGTCCACATCTTTTCTGTGGTGGGATGCTCAAAACTGAACACAGTACTCTAGATGTGGCCTCACCAGTACTGAATAGAAGGGAATAATCGCTTCCCTTGACCTACCGGCAATACGCCTACCAATGCATCCCAGTATGTCATCAGCTTTCTGGACTCTCTCGAGCTTCTCCACACCCTTTTTGAATTG